GACGCGAAAATTTGTGCAGAATGTGAAACTGCTCTCAGGCTTTACAAAATTAGTTTTTTCTCCTATTGTTGCATTTTTGTAAAATATTTTCCAGAATATTCTGGAAATATTTCACATTTGTTGTTTTTTTAGCCGGCTTAAAAAAATAGAAGGTTATCAATTCTTCGGAAAATTTTCATTTTTTTTTATATTTAATTTTTAAGTACGATTTCGATAATTCTATCGGAAGGGCAGTGTCTCACAGGTGCTCCGATGTTAATTTGGTATAGATCCGATAATTGGATTATGAAGAAATTAACGGTACACCTAATTTGTATATGGTTGTGTTTTTTTCTTTAAAATTAGTTGTTTTTCTAAGAGTGCTATTTCACCAAAATATAAAAACAAGGAAATCATTGAAACTCCTGAAGTAATAAATAGACACTGGTACTTATCTAATTTTTGGTGTTTTTGCATAGCAAACTGGGTAACATTCCGGAAATATCAGACATTGAGTAACCGGTCCTTAAACTTCTTTTTGCATGTTAATTATCGAATAACCTGAGCGGGTACAAATATTTTTATGTCCGCAAAAGAAAACAATGCGGCTTGCATTAATAAAAAGCAGCTTTGTTGGTGGTTTATAATTTGGATCGTATCATGCTGTTTTCGAATTTTCGTTTTTATCACTATAAAACAATTTAAAAAGGGGGACCGAAAAAAATAGCAATTGGTTTGGAAATTACCCACGTACATATATATGAAGATATACAAGTATATATGGGCATGTTCATTTGACCGTACCGTGTTTAAAGCGTTTTTGTGGACAATTTCGAAAAAAGCTTTTTGTCCGAACCTAGCGGTAGAGGATCGCCTTTTTACAAGCTGTTATTTAACTAGTTCTGTATGAATGTAAGTATGTTTGGTAGATGCAAATATTGCAATGAATTTTTAACCAACTTCCCGATGACCTAGAGACTTGAAACTTCACAGTTAGCTCAGAGACCGATGACAATGCAATATGAAAATTGGCGCAGGAGTGGAGATATTTGAAAAACCCATATTTATAGTCCGATTTGGTTTATATTTTGAACGTGTATTAACTACATGAAAAGGAATAACCCGGTACGCTTTGGTATATTTGGTAAACCAGTATTTATGGCCCAATTTCGTTTATATTTAGAAAGCTTGCCTATGAATGCCGTGGTCGGAGCCCAATCACCACCTGTAGCAGACACGGAGCTGCAACTGCCAAGAGATCCGCGTTACTCTGGCCTAGTTACGGTCTGGTTATTGTAGCCGTCTCAACAAGTAACGAAATCTAAGTTCGGATGAAGCCGAACATTAAATACGTGGCGCAAGTATTAAATATAGTTTTTCACCTTTCTGAAAACTGCCGATCTATGGTAAGAAGGGAAATGGGGGTACTATTTCTAACAATTTCGAGAGTGTGTTCAGTAATACTTAGGGCCGTGTTCTCAAGTAACCTGTAACTTTAAAGGTCACTTTATATTTAAAGGTTGCATTAAAATGTATGGTTGTGTCTAAAGTAAAGCACTTTGTTATCCGTTTTAAATTAGTTTACAACCAAGAAACATACATACGTCATAAACCGATAATAGAAATGTTTAACTGTAGACAAAGCTTTACTTTTAATCCAACCTTTAAATATAAAGGGAGCTTTACAATTCGATAATCTTGTATAGTTAGATGTGGGCGGTATCACGCCCCCTTTCCAAAATTCTATAATAATGTTATTTATTTTTAAGGGTTTGTTGTTAGTATCAATTCTGAGTAAATTAGCGTCCTTAAATTCTGAAATATCGAAGTTTCAAGAATTTCTGAAATTTACCGTTATATGAAAATTGGGAGTAAGTTTTGTCCGATTTCAATAATTTTTAACGTTCTGCATTTATTTGGTAAGCGAAAAAATCATTCCAAGGTTGGTACGGCGGTGCCACGCCCATTTTCCAAAATTTTATCATAAACGTGTTTTTGCTAAAGAATTATCACAAACATCAATTTTGAATAAATTAACTTCTGTATTTATTAATTCATCGATGATTTCGTATTTCTCTNTGAATTTTTAACCAACTTCCCGATGACCTAGAGACTTGAAACTTCACAGTTAGCTCAGAGACCGATGACAATGCAATATGAAAATTGGCGCAGGAGTGGAGATATTTGAAAAACCCATATTTATAGTCCGATTTGGTTTATATTTTGAACGTGTATTAACTACATGAAAAGGAATAACCCGGTACGCTTTGGTATATTTGGTAAACCAGTATTTATGGCCCAATTTCGTTTATATTTAGAAAGCTTGCCTATGAATGCCGTGGTCGGAGCCCAATCACCACCTGTAGCAGACACGGAGCTGCAACTGCCAAGAGATCCGCGTTACTCTGGCCTAGTTACGGTCTGGTTATTGTAGCCGTCTCAACAAGTAACGAAATCTAAGTTCGGATGAAGCCGAACATTAAATACGTGGCGCAAGTATTAAATATAGTTTTTCACCTTTCTGAAAACTGCCGATCTATGGTAAGAAGGGAAATGGGGGTACTATTTCTAACAATTTCGAGAGTGTGTTCAGTAATACTTAGGGCCGTGTTCTCAAGTAACCTGTAACTTTAAAGGTCACTTTATATTTAAAGGTTGCATTAAAATGTATGGTTGTGTCTAAAGTAAAGCACTTTGTTATCCGTTTTAAATTAGTTTACAACCAAGAAACATACATACGTCATAAACCGATAATAGAAATGTTTAACTGTAGACAAAGCTTTACTTTTAATCCAACCTTTAAATATAAAGGGAGCTTTACAATTCGATAATCTTGTATAGTTAGATGTGGGCGGTATCACGCCCCCTTTCCAAAATTCTATAATAATGTTATTTATTTTTAAGGGTTTGTTGTTAGTATCAATTCTGAGTAAATTAGCGTCCTTAAATTCTGAAATATCGAAGTTTCAAGAATTTCTGAAATTTACCGTTATATGAAAATTGGGAGTAAGTTTTGTCCGATTTCAATAATTTTTAACGTTCTGCATTTATTTGGTAAGCGAAAAAATCATTCCAAGGTTGGTACGGCGGTGCCACGCCCATTTTCCAAAATTTTATCATAAACGTCTTTTTGCTAAAGAATTATCACAAACATCAATTTTGAATAAATTAACTTCTGTATTTATTAATTCATCGATGATTTCGTATTTCTCTAAATTATCGTTATATGAGATGTGGGCGTGGTTATTGTCCGATTTTAAAAATTTTCAGCCGTTTGGTATGTTGTACCAAAGCTATCAACTGCGCCAAGTTTGGGAGAAATTGGTGTAGCGTATCATAAGTGGGCGTGGCTACATATTGTATTGTATTGTTCAGTATACTATAGTTACTAAAATATCGCAGCTTCCGTATTGCTGAAAACTACCGTTATATGGGAAGTGAGCATGGTTACAGACCGATTTCGCCCATTTTCAATACCAACCAACCTTGGGTAAAGGACAATCTGCATACCAAATTTCGTTGAGATAAGTATCTCAATTTTTGCCGGACGGACAGACAGACATGAATTAATCGACTTCTCTTTTCATTCTGATCATTTATGTATACATTTGTCTGTATCTATCTCGATTCGTTTTGGCTACTACAAACAAACGTTAACGTTATTGTGCACAAGTGCGCTCGGGTATAAAAATAATTTTCGTTGTTGAATCTAGGTGTCATCGAAAAATGTAAAAAACTAGGTTCGAAAAAAAAAATTTCGAAATTTCATGGTAAAAATATGTATCTTAAACTCATCGGGAGTTTCTATAACTTCTTAATTGGATGTCCGATTTATACAATTGATATACCTATGTAAAGACATTAAAAAGGCACACATAAATAGTAAGAAGTTTAAAAACACTGGCAAAGTTAATGAGATATGATAATAGGTCTATTAGCTGTTTTTACGAATGACGAAATATAATTTTTATTTCCTCTCATAGTGAGTGTTTTTTTGCCAAACATAAAAAAATATGTCTAATGTAAATATTTCAATATTTTACAGTGCCGGCCACTTGAATAGTGTCCTTTTTTATCCTCAGTATTCACAGTTTTTCTTTTGTTTATTTAATATTCATTATTATTTTTTTTTATAAAAATATACATAGCAAAGACAAGTAAATACTATTTTTAAACTTTATACAAAATTTTATAATTCAACAAATTTTCATCAAAATTTCGATCTTTCCTTACAAAATTTTCAGATTTTTACGAGTACGCTGTTTAATGGCCCGTTCAATTTTGGTTTTATTAGAAGCAAGTTTAAAATTTCAAAAACATCGCGTTTATTTTTGAGATTTTTTTTTTCGAAAGTGTTTCGCATTTTCTTCCATACTTCCACCTTCCTTTAAAATTTAAAGAATTACAAAAATGCATGCTCAAAAAATTCAAATTTGTTTTAAGCTCGAAACTTTTATGAAAATTAAAAATTTCGTATGAAGTTTGAAAATCGGATTTATACGGATTTTGATTTTCTAATGGCATTGTAAAATAAACACTTTGTCATGAAACAGGTATGAATGCAAACTCTCTGGCTGTACACAAATCCTGCATTCGCAAAGAAGTGACAGTGTCCCACCATAAGTCGGGCCTACTTAACCCGAAGTACCAAACCTATATCTCGCAAAGGTGTGAGTCTTCAAGGTTTTACAACAAGGGCTATTAATTTTCTAAAAAATGTCGAAAAGTTCAAGCACCCACCATGAAGCTTCGCAATATGTTGTTGTAGCGGCACTACTAAGCCCCGCCTGTTTCGGGTCAACTTTTAATCATAGTAGTGCCGCTACAACAACAACAAAGCTTCGCAATATGAAAATATTTCAGTTTAAATTTCGTCAGACTGTTCAGGAAATGAATGATGATGATAGAGCAGCGGCGTGTGTACAGCACTAGCTGGAACGAGGCCACACATCATGCATAAATACATATAGTTGAGTACTCACGCTTTAAATTTGAAGCCCAATCTTGTTGAAAAATAACAGTTTTTTCTACTCATTTTATTGCTGGCTAGCCAGTATTTTCATTTTTATTTTGCAAAGTTGCATATTCTTGACATATTTCTACGTTTGTTATAGTTGCACTTATTTTTCTAAAACATATACACAAATATTTTCACATAGTTAAATTTATATTATTTTTGCTAGTAGCTAACCTTGCAAAAAAATACAATGTAAGCACTGGAAATTTCATTTTGCGCGCTACTTCATTTTCTACTCTTACTGTTCAAAAAATCGTCCTAAATCGCATTCAGCTTTTTCTTTAAACAAAATAATAGTAAAAATAAAAGTTTACCTAAAGAACATGTTTTTATATTATATTAGTTAAGCGTAAACTAAAATACCAACAATGAATATTTTTAAATTTTTATGCATAGACTACTATTAAGTTTGCGCATATTATGCAATAATTATAACAAATTATTAAGAAATTATCCCTAAATTTAAGATTAAGAATAATTTATTCATTTTTCAGTATTTACAAGTATGTTTAGAGCTCCAAAGATAATGTGAGTGGACCGACAGAGAATACATTGATTCACAAAGTTATATGTAGTTTGTCCGTCTAGGTATGAAGGTAAACATGTATGTATATATGAAAATGTCCTCGATGCTTGTTCGCAGTAAGAATTTAGCCCAAAGTTATTTATTGGTATATGTATAAGCACTTTTAAATATGGTTGTTCATTAGCTTTGTAATTGTAACCGTTGAGGAACAAGACTGGAGACAATTATTTTCTTTGGCATGCTTTTGCATATTCCTTAGCTTGGCTTGATTTACACTTATGTAATTTTATGTAAATTTATATCCATTTGAATTCTCTAAATGCATTTTATTGTATGACATGGGTGGGTGAAAAATTTTCTGGTGGTAACATAATTGTGCACTTTCCAGTTTCATTTAATGACAACATTCTATTAATCTACCAACGTATTTGGTGTTTATATTGTTCATCAATCGCTATCCGTTTTATTGTCTCGTAGCCCAAAATTATACTAAAGGAGAATGCCGCAGACTGCACAAGGCGTGCGGACAGTCCTTTAACAAAGCAGTTCATGTGCTCTTCCCGCCATAACTCTTGAAATGCAACACGCATTGATTCCAATCGTTGAACCTGAAGACAAGAGAGTTAGCCTTCAAATATGAGTTAAAAACCCAAATTACTTACCTGCAAACGTGCTCTGACAATGTCAAGCGGATTAGTAATTATGGTAGTAGTAAATCCACCTAGACTTCCTGCAACACATTGTATAAAGAGATGCGAAACCCATGGTGGACATATTCGGCACAGCTCATCTATATAAATGATAAAAATAATGCGAATACATATGTACTTTTAATAAGAATTTCTAAACGGGTTAATTGCTGTTTTCATTACCTTGGTATAGATGATAGAAAGCCCACCACATTGCCGAATTGGGCACGTATGCCATTAAACTTGCCGTGTAGCCACGATAAAATCCGCGAAAGCCATCACGTTTCAATATCTCACGTGATATATCCATTGACATTGCAAAACGGCTACGATCTGGGCCCGTTTTAATGCCAAGTGGGTTCACATCTACTCGTGCTGAGCCAGCATGTGCTGCCATACCCAAAACCATGGCGTGTTGCGAAATGACATCGAATGGTACTATAATAGTTTGGCCCACAAGCGATGCACAGCCTCCAGCAACCAGTGCTTTAGTACGGTGTCCTGCGCCTATTTCATTTAGTAAGTGACGCACACCCTCATATGTACTTATATAGAATACACCTGAAACAATTTGCACAGATGATATCCAAAATCCACGGTATAACCCAGGTACACCTTCTGATCGATATATTTTTATGGCACAATCAATCATGCCCTTATATATGTCACTTTTATATTGCACCTGTAATTGTGTTTTTATCACTGTCAATGGGAAAAGGCAACACCGCACAGAAAACGAGCTTAACATTGAAAGTGGAAAAAACTTTGCTTTGTTCATCATATCCCATTCAATGGTGCGTATGTATGGCGCTGCATCAATGGAACTACCTGAGCCGGTAGCGGTTCCATTTGCAACCGAAATTCGATTCATAATGTTAGCTCTTACCCTCAGCGAGTGTGGAAGCAGTTGCAATGACTAAAGTGCGAACAATTGCAAACTGTGTTGAAGATGAGTACATTCAGATTAATGCTGCAGTGATTGTAAAATTTGCTAATTTAAAAAAAAGCATTGCGCTCCGAGGATGACGAAAGGTAATAGCTAAGTGAAATTCATATCGGCCTGGAAGATAAAAGAAACACAATGAGCACATGAAAAAGGTTTGTGTTAGTGAACGTCGATGCAAATGTCAATGACCATCGTATTTCCTCATGGTTAATAGATACTAGCCAAACGATATGGAGTAATGACCGCTATAATAAAGCTCATGTAGATATACGTTCTTAAATTGTTGTTTTTAACATAGTAACTTGCAAGGACTTTTTAATCCTTTAAGTACACATTAAGTGAACTTCAATTATATAACAAACGCGATTTATGTGGTACAATATGACAAGCTACTGTAAACATTCCCACTCTGTCGAGCATTTCGAGATAACGCAAAAACTAGCTGACTTGCGAAATGTACATAATTGGCAGATTATTTGAATAGGTACATACGTTATGTTGTAGTAAATCGCTTCCCATGAAAATTCCTGACACTTATACCTCGAAATCTAAATTTGATTCCTAAAGTTTATAATCATTGCTAATGTAATACTTTTTATGCAAAAATATAACCAAATCACACGACAATGAAAAATTTCAAGTACTAAGCAAAACACAATCACTGAAATGACATTAATAAACGTCAATGCAGCTGTCAAGTAAAAAATTAGGGGTGGTTTTTGTGGGTAGTTGCTGAATTGGAGGATTTCGGTATTTTCAGATAGTGAACCCTATAAGAAAATATCACCGTTTGCCAATCATTTTTTTGTTAAGTATACAGGGTGGTGGAAGTGTTGTTGCAAATATATAAAGGAGATTGAGCCATGGTTTTTGTAGTAGAAAATGTGTGTTAAAATTTTTTTTCGAAAATTGGACTTGCTCCTTCATAAAAGATGAACAGTTAATGCGAGTTTCCAAAAAATCTGTCTCCTTCATGTATTTTCACCAATCAATGCTAATAAAATTATAATGCTGACTACACACGGGGAAACCGTTGAAGCAACGTGATCTTCTTGTTCAATACACACGAGGCAACCGTAGAGGTAACGATTACGGCAACCTCAGTATTTCTACAAAACCATTTTTTCAGTTGACTTGTTTTCAACGAGCTAAGCCAATAATTTGATTTTCGGGCGACGAAAAGATGTTCAATATAAATCGAAGGCGTCATGGATATGTTTATTTCCTTGGACGCCTTCTATATTTTTAGGCACAATCCTTATTCATTTAGATATTTTTAGCGGTAGAGATTTAGCGTAACGATTTCCCACTGCTGAAAACCCTAATGTGGAGTTTGAATCTAAAATTCAGATTTTATTCATTGACGAGCAGGGAAAGGTCTCCCTGAAAAATGAAAAACCCATATAAATAAGGCTCTGTCTTCCTTCGAAATCAATTCCCCAGTGGTCTTGAAGTATGTAGAGAGGCGTAATGCTCTGGCTGAGAACAAGACCAGCTAATTGTTATGGGTACCGGGGCACATGGGAGTCAAAGGTAATGAGGAAGCGGATCAATTTGCTAGATTTTTCTTCTTTCAATAGGTCCCAACACAATAGAGGAAGCGCTCCAAAAAGAAAACACCAGACTAAGGGAACTGCATTGTCGCAATACTATGGGAATTCGTCAATCAAAAGCTTAATAGGAGAGTACAATCTTAAAAGATATAGGATACTCGTAGGCGTCCCTAAGGGGAAACAAAGAACCATAGCAGATTGTTTTCCAGGCCAGTGTAAGTTTAGAGATCACCTGTAAAACTTATGAATCTGGTCCAGTGACCTATGTCCCTTCTGTGACACTGCAAAGGAGACTACATGACATCTCCTTCTGGAGTGTGTGGCCATTTCACGCTGAAGGGAGAGGAGATCATGCACCCCGCTCCCGAGTTCTATTCTGAAATGGTTCTAGAGCTGACTGAGGTGTTGTGAAGAGTTTAGGACACAATAGACCTACTAGTCACAGTGCTTTGTTATTTTATCTATCACTCATTTACTAAGGGACTTTCACAACTCAAAAATGCTCCTTTTCAGGAGATGCGTATTATCCGGAAAATGGAGATGCATTACATATTTTAGCAAATAATATTCGACGCCCTATTGATCAAAGACCAAAGATAAAAAATTAGTTGAATAGGCCAAATAGCGAAGTTGAAACTTCGGGTGAACACTAGTACGTACATAATTATGTTTGTATATACATATGTATGTACACAAGTATGTGTATGTAGACATTTTGTTCTTGATCTTAGCTAACGGTTTTGGAGAATTTACGCTAACCCAGCAGAAAGCCTGTAATTGCTTCTTGTGTGTACAAATGAATAGTTCAGGGCGATTTCAGCACCATTTCGGGTATAGTTCCTACTAGTTTAGGACCATTTTAGGACTAGCTCGGGCTCATTTCGCGACAACTTCTGGACCACTTTGTGACTAGTTCTGGACAAGTCTGGAATAATTTTGAGACTAGTTCAATACTTTTTGAAGATTCTTTCGGGGTAGTTCGAAACTAGTGATGTTAATGTAGGTAATAATAAAAGTAACTACACAGATACCAAAGAAACGTAGATTTTGCCGACAGTGTTCAATTTTCCGTATCCGAAAACGCATACAAAAAACTCCTACAATTATCGTCAACTTTCGTATCCGGAAAATGTTCGAAAAAGATGATGTGATTTGAAAGCAATAATGGTATTTTATATGCTCAAACTAAATATTTGAAAGCATGCATGCGTAGTCGGCAGTGGCTGAGCGTGCAGAGGAGTGAGCCGCTATTTGTTAGCTTCCAGAAGGTGCCGGGTTCGAATTCCGTCAAGTGCTTCCTAATTTTATTTTATTTCTTTTGAACCATGAAAAAGTTTCTGTGAAGTGCAGAAGGAAAGCGAAAAATTCAATCAGACAAATTTCAGAAAAAAAACAGCCAAAAACGTATCCTTTTCACCACCATTTTCGGTACTTTTCTGTACATACGTTTCTGCCGCACACTTTAGTGCGAAAACGGATCATTAAAGTATCCGGAAATGGAATCGGTAAACGGACAAAAATCCGGTTTTCATCGACTTATTTTACGTTTTTGGGTTTTTTTGCTGTACATTTCGTTACCTTAATATAGAAAGGACCTAACTCATATAATCGTTGAAATGCAAATAACCGTAACTAACTAAACTTGTTGTATAGCTTAAGTTGATATGCGGACTTATAATTCGATGAATCATATCAAAAAGGGAATTTTGGATTTCTACTTAGATACGGCCTTTTATATTTCAGCGCCGATGTGAGATAGGGCCTTTCTATATTAAGGTAACGATATATATGTTTGTATGTACATACCTACTTATAAACATATCTATATATAAGCATAAGATATGTACATATGTTCAATTACATACATACATACATACTACATGCATTCTTGTTTAAATCGTATTAAATAAATTTATGTATAAACAGTCTGACAGGTCCCCAATTCTTGACCAATAGGAAAGCAAATAGGCAGGTATAAGCATGCGCATTATGGCAAATCTCTACATACAACTTATGCTCCGCCTTCCTGCAGATGATGTGATACTAAAAGAACTGCATTTGAATGTCCTTTAACATAGTAGCGGCAAGTATTGGGACAGCGTAGCATACATCTCGGAGTATTTAATAAACTAAGAAGTATTTTTGAAAAGATTATAATTAATCAATATTAAAACAATTCTATGTTAAATCTTGTTTTCTTAAGTCCGACATAAACTGTGAAAATAAAAAACAACTAAAAGTTGTGCGTGGTGCATGTTTGAAAAAATATAAATACACGTGTAAAATGATTTAATCCGAAATAATTTAAAAAAAGTGTTAACATAAAAAAAACATACATACATACTTATGTATCTATATAAAGTTTAAATGAACAAAAAAATCGAATGGATACTCATAAATTGGTAAGATAATTTGGCTGAAGCTCACAAATGTTTTTAAAAACCAGCTTAAGTACAATCATTTTTTTTTTTTTGTTTTTGATTGTGCGAATGCTGATGTATAGAAATCTGGTTTTCTTTATTTTTTAAACGACTTCAAAAAAGGAAAAGGTTATCAGTTCGTCGGAATATTTTTTTATGTAAGTATTTTGGCGCATAACTTTGGACCGCGTCAACCCATAACATACATAACTCTTGTTTCGAAAGTTTTTCCTCGAATCTTCGACCTTCATCTAGTCCTGGACTTCTGAAATTAGTGAAAATGTTTTCTGTGGAAAACGAAAAAATATGAATTACCAAGTGGAGGATGCTCTATCTTTTGTTCGTATCAACGAATTTCGGTTTAGACCAGAAGTGGGTTAAACTGGCCAGAAATAAATTTTTTGAATGGATAATAAATTTTTTTACCACAGAATCGGATTCGGCGCATAAAAATACATAGCTTGTGTCGTTAACCTTTTTTCGGAATGGACTTCCGGTTAAAACAATGGACTTCCGGTCCATTTTTTCCAATAAAATCATTTTCGCTAATTTCAGAAGTCCAGGACGATTTGAAGTTCGAAGATAATTTAAAGGTTGAAAAAGGAACTTGCGAGAAAAAAGTTTCAAACAAAAGTTACGTATTTGTATACTCAGAATCTGAGAACGAAAACAAACAATAGCAAACGTATTGGTATCGTTTTGTTTCGCTCATAGAAACACAACCGATTCAACATTTTGTGAGTGGTAACTTTACTCTGCTAGCGTTCGCGATAGCTAACGCAAACAAAACAATTGAATGCAGAGAAATAGGGAAACAAACGAAACATAAAGTTAGTGCTCACAAGGCAAAACGAAAAGATTCGTTTAGTGATCCCCTAGTATATAGTTTTAGAGTATATATTATATTATATATTCAAACGTAATAAACTGATATATGTGTTGAACAGCACCTCTTCGTGGCCCATCGGCAATATGATTCGGTTGCCGAATGTGCCATGGTCCAAAAGGAGTAGTGGTCTAGGTGGTCCCATGATATGCAGCGGTGGACCAGAAGTGCTCCCATGTTATGCAGCGTTGGACCAGAGGTGGTCAGGTCCAATGACATCGCAATGTTAATGTAACCATATTTTCTCCATATATTTTGACCATTTTCGTTACTAGTGTTGGTTACAAGGTAACGTGGTCCTGTAATAGTATTTAACCTAGTCCCACTTTTTGCAGGGCTACTGAAGCAGTTGAACAATTCTGCTAACTACATAGGCAACATTAATTCGCTCAGCACTAAAGGTATGATTCCTTTTGTTTTGTGTAATGAGTTTTGATTCGGTTTGGCTCAGGATGAGTACCTTTACCACAATCGAAACCATGCAGAGCAAATCGTCATTTTACCCTGAAAAAAATCGTCATTTCAGCCAAAAAAAATATATTACATACAATAAATATGACCACACATTTCAAAACCAAAGGGAGCCCACATTGCATATGGGTTAATATAAGTGCATTTGTAATTGTTAACAACAATTTGATATTACACTTTAAAACACAACTCCACTGGCTTGAAGTTTTTGAAGATTTTGATCCAGTTTTATAGGGCAACATTAGCATTTATTAACTGATAGATAATCTTGAGTGAACAAATTACCTCTGCAATTTTTCTGTCTCTTTTAAATCAGTGTCAACAGTGCAAAT